TGGGAAGTGTGCATCTTTGCAGGCAAGCATAGGTTCCAGCTTGGGCTTATCTGCCTGGAGTTGGATTTGTAAGATTTTCGTCTTCTTCCTCAGGTGCAAACCCAATTCTACTCTCTCTGACAAGCTAAGATCTCAAATATTATGTCCTGCAGGGTGATCTGTAAAGGTGGCCAAGGAGGCAAAGATGAAGTATGTACAGATGACAGCAGTTTCTGGAATGTGCCAAGGGAAATGGACTGTGAGCAACAGACTGAGAAACTAAGTAGTAAGGGCTGAAATCGATGTGGTTGAAAGAACCACTGTAACAAGATACAAATGTCTTAAAACAGGAATATATTTTCTTGTGGGTTTGGAGGTCTAGAAGTCCAAGAAGAATATGGCAGTAGGGCTGGTTCCATTTGAAAGACAAGAGATAAGGCTCTGTGGTAGGCCCCCCTCTTGATTTGTTGAAGACAGCCATCACCCTGTGTCTTTACATTGTTTCTCTTTGTTTATCTGAATCCAAGTGTCCTCTTCTTACAAGGATACAGATTAGGGGCCACCCTAAGGATCTCATTTGAACTTGATTATCAATACTAAAAAACCCAAACAACCCCACCCTGTCTCATAAGAGTCACATTCTGACCCAGAGAATCAGGATTCCAACATAAGCATTTGGAGGTGTAATGGCAATGGTGCTGGGAATTTGAGAGAGGTTAAGGAATACAACATTCAAAACTAAGGAAAGATGTGGGCCAATCTCTGTGGTGTGAAATGGTATCTCATTGTTGTTTTGATCTGCATCTCCCTGATGATTAGTGATGTAGAGCATTTTCTCATGTGCCATTTAGCCATTCGGATTTCTTCTTTGAGAAAGTTTCTGTTCATTTCGTTGCCCCATTTTTTGATGGGGTTGGATATTTTCTTCTTGTTGAGTTCAACCAGTACTTTGCATATTCTTGATATCAACCCCCTTGTTGGATGTGTATTGGGTGAATATCCTTTCCCATTCTGTAGACTGTCTTTGTATTTTTGTCACTGTTTCTTTGGAGGTGCAGAAGCTTCTTAGTTTAAGATAGTCCCATTTGTCTATCTCTGTTTTCACTTGCTTGGTGATATCTTTGAAGATACCGTTAGCTTCAATATCATGGAGGGTTTTGCCGACTTTGTCTTCAATGTACCTTATGGACTCCGGTCTGATGTTGAGGTCTTTAATCCATTTTGATCTTACTTTTGTACATGGTGTTAGGCAGAGATCTGAGCCCGTTTTTTGCATGTAGCTGTCCAGTTTTGCCAGCACAATTTGTTAAAGGGACTTTCCTTGCTCCACTTCACATTTCTTGCTCCCTTTGACCCAGCAGTACCATTCCTGGGAATATATCCCAGAGAGGCAAAAAATTATAAGCAAAGTCACAACTCTACTTGTTTGTTCATTGCAGCACTGTTTACAATAGCTAGAATCTGGAAAAAATCTGAGAGCCCAAGAACAGATGACTGGTGTGTGCGGGTACTGTAAAACAGGAATTTTCTATTTTTTATCTAAGCGGTAGGGCGTTCGCCTTACAAGCGGCCAACATGGCCGACCCGAGTTCGATTCCTCCGCCCCTCTCGGAGAGCCCGGCAAGCTACCGAGAGTATTCGATATGCCAGACACAGTAACAACAAAGTCTCCAATGGAGACGTTACTGGGCCCGCTCGAGCAAATCGACGATCAACGGGAGGGCCTTTACCTTACCTTACCTTATCTAAGATGCAACTATCTTTTCTGATAATTTTTTCTAATATAAAGAAATGCATTGTTGAAGCTATTATGTGTTTTTACATATATTTTGCTATTCTTCCCCCTATATGTTGGAGTGGGAGGGATTTTAAAACAGAAATTCCCTATGTTTATCTTTCTACATGTATTGTCTAGAACACTGTCCTCCCATTGTTCATCGATTTGCTCGAGCAGGCCCAGTAACATCTCCATTTTGAGACTTGTTGTTACTGTGTTTGGCATATCAAATACGTCCCGGGTAGCTTGCCAGGCTTTGCGGTGTGGGCGAGATACTCTCGGTAGCTTGCCGGGCTCTCCGAGAGGGGCGGAGGAATTGAACCTCACTCTGCCAGGCCAGCCGCGTGCAAGGCAAACGCCCTACCTCTGGTGCTGTCGCTCCAGCCCGCTGTAATGTAAGAGAGTGGAAAAACAGGGAAAGGCTTGAGAGGCTTCTCTCTTTTTTTCTTCATAATGTTTATAGCATACTCTTGCGTCTAGGGCCCAGAGAGATAGCTCGAGAGGTTGGAGCGTGTGTGTGGCATATGCAGGAGGCCCATGCCTAGCATGGCATGTCCCCCTGAACAGTGCTGGGGAAGACCTGAAACACTAAGGCAGGTGGAACCCCAGCACTGCCAGGTGTGGCCCCCAGGAAAATAATAACAGGACAAAGGTTCTTGCATCTTACCAAGTTATTTCTTTCTCTTTCCTTATCACAACAGCTTCTGCCTCCTCTCTCTCTCTCTCTCTCTCTCTCTCTCTCTCTCTCTCTCTCTGTGTGTGTGTGTGTGTGATCTCAACCAAGCCCTTGATAAATGATGGGGTTAAATTTTAAGTAAGATCTACTATCTTGGAAAACCGGTAACAATTTTAGGAATCATTCTAGGATTACAGTTAATCCCATATTATTTGGAAGTAATCAAGGTAAAAAATACAAGTACGTGTAATTTAAAGAACTGCCCACAACATTTATAAGCTCCAGTGTTTGGCTGCGCAAAGGGGTTTTGAGGGAAAATAATGAAAAAGTAGAATTTCATCAAATTATAAAAATAGTAGGCTGGAGCAATAGCACAAGTAGGGCGTTTGCCTTGCATGTGGCCAACCTGGGTTCAATTCCCAGCATCTCATATGGTTCCCCGAGCACTGCCAGGAGTGATTCCTGAGTGCAGAGACCTGAGCATCACTGGGTGTGACCCAAAAAGCAATATATATGTGTGTATATATATTTGTATATATATATTAGTGTGGTCACTACTTATTACCTTATTTAATATTTATTACCTACTTATAAACTATGTGTCTGAATTCCATGGAGTTAGGACTTCAACATGTGAATAGTGAAGGACACAATTCAGTATACAACAATACTACTTGCAAATTATTTTCCTTTCCTACTACAGATATTTCTAACTACTGTTACTTGATCTTACATTGTTTAGGACAATACAAAGGGCAGCCTTTGTCCTTTGAAGCTATTAGTTAAAGCTGGGTTTTGTATTATATCTTGTATATAACATGATTTAAATATTTCTACATATAGTTTACTTTTTTACAATGACAAATGTAAATGATTTGATAAAATATTAGAAAATTTATAATTAACTCCATTTGCTCATTCCTTGATATCATTTTAACTCAGTGGTATGGTTTGTGAAAATCTGCCATAGATTGTTTTCTATACGCCAGTAAGTTTTTTCAATTCTTCAAAAGCTATTTGGAAAAGGAAATAACAACCCATCTGAGAATGATCAGGCTTGATTAAGATATAAACTCTCCTCATGGTTTGGATATCTCTCCCTTATCTCGATTTACTAACATGAAGGAACAAGGAGGGTTTTCATTACTTGTTCATATTTTAAATTTTCTTGTTTCATAGGAAAAGCAAAGATGCCTACACTTTGTTAATAATAGTGACATTTTTTATAGCAAAACTCTAACTCAGAGTTCTGCTATTAAGAATAAAATTAAAAATTCTGTAAGCAACCTCTGGATAATTTTCATTACTGTCACTGTCACTGTCCCCCGGTTGTTCATCGATTTGCTCAAGCGGGCCCAGTAACGTCTCCATTGTGATAATTGTTACTGTGTTTGGCATATCGAATATAACAAGGGGAGCTTGCCAGGGTTTGTCGTGTGGGTGAGATACTCTCGGTAGGTTGCCAGGCTCTCCGAGAGGGGTGGAGGAATCAAACTCGGGTCGGCCATGTTGGCTACGTGCAAGGCAAAGGCCCTACCACTGTGCTATCCCGTTACTGGGTCCACTCGAGCAATGTTCATTAAATTGATAAAATTTCAGGTACATTGACCATGAGAATCTTTTTTAAAAGACCCTGTGGGTGAAAAATATTACTACAATCAATTTCAGATGTCCTTCCCTTGATAAAAAAGATGTTCTATTTTTGTATTAGATAATGTGACACTAGTCAGTCAATTGTTTTAAGGGTCAGACAGTATTTTTGGAGGAACTAAATTAGCATGTGTATTGTATCTGTAGACTATGTAGAAACCATGCAAACATAGAGTTATTGTACACAGATGTTTTCATGGAACAGAATTTTATTTTTATTTGGTTTAGTTTTAGTTTTGGTTCTCCGATGTGGTCCTTAGGAAGCCTGGGGTCCCTATCTGAGAAGCCTGGTCAGTCTGGACAGTGGTTTGATATAAGGGCCAAAGGAGGTGGCATTGTTCCTACCCTGCAGGGTCAGGGATTGATGACCTGGTCCACCCTAGCAGTACTGCACTGGGTCTCTGGAGCTGCACCTGTGATGCTCAGGGGCCTCCAGGACTATGCCCAGAGCAGTAATAGAGGGCATCACTGAATAGAATTTTATTTATTTATTTGTCTTGGAGGACTTCCTGTGCTTATGATTTTGAGTACCGGGTGATGTTTGGGCTCTGTGCTCATTTTTGGCGGTCCTCAGGGAACCATATGGAGTGCCAGGAATGGAACCTGGGTTGCCTGCATGCAAGGCAGGTACCCTACCTATTGTATTATCATTCCAGCCCCTGAATAATTTTTTTGTTCTAATTCTAGTTTTTGACTTACAGTACTATTAATAATGGTTTCTCATGGACATAATTCCAACACCACACTCATCACCAGGGTGTCCTGTCTCCCTACCCCAAGGACTCCTCCCACTCCCACAACCCCAAATCGATTATATGTATCAGTTCTCCAATTATGTTGTCCTGAATAAAATTTTAATAAAGCAAAGAGCCTAACAGACTCTAATGTAAGTGCTAAGTATTATGTTTGCTTTCTTAGGCTAGAAGGCCATGCCAGTAGATCCACTGATGCTCTGAACAACCAGACCACAAGAACTACTGTTAATTCTTATGAAGCCAGGAAGAATCGCAGGTATTGTGGTCAATTTGGAAACAAATTACAGATCTATTCTCCCATTCAAAATTTATATATACATTCTATATACTGACTGTCACTTCATTTTAACTGCAATAGTAGTTCTTCATTTTTATCAGTGTCTGTATATAAATAATCCTACACAAAAGTGTCAAGTTAGACACTTGGCTATGGAGGTAGGTTGTACCATCTGGAGGGGAAATTGTAAAATTTAGTTTTTCCACACAAAGTTTGCAAGTTTTTTAAAGCATTAGCACCATATAGTTGTTTACATTCTGTAAGTAGATTTAAAGATTTCATTAAGTCAGGAACTATATGTTAACCAAGCCTCACTTTTAATTTGAAGAATGTGGGAAAATAAGGTTTCTTGAATAGAGCATCAGGAAACGTGCCCATAACCATGATACACACATTCAAAATCATCTTCATGCTCTACAGCAGATTTCTTGACTGACTGACTTTCAAACTAATATCCTGAAAGGAAATAAACATTAGAGGGCTGGAGAGATAGTGCACAAGTTAAAGTGATGCCTTGCATGTGGCCTACCCCAATTCAATCCCCAGCACCACATATGGTTCCCTGAGCGTCTCCAGGAGTGATCTCTGAGCACAGTGCTAGCAGTAAGTCTGAGAACCACTAGGTGTGGCCATAAAACGAAACAAAAATTATCTGTGGAATATAGACTACTGTATGAGGAAATGTATTGTAGTAAGAGGGGGATGCTTAGATTATCCTTGACCCCAGTGTTTAGAGAGGAGACTGACAGAGAAGGAAAGAAATCAAGGAGGGAAGAAGAGAATAAGAAGTAATGGATTAATGGGCCTCAGGGCTTCAGTTGTACCAGTGATATGAGAGAGGGATATAGTCATATACCCAAAACACAGATTCAACAGAACTGAAAACATGAGATCTAAATGGAAACCACTGAAACTTTGTACTGTGCCTGTCAAGTTGACAAGCAGGGGTGAACTTGGGGTTGGGTTGGGGAGAGAATCTGGAAACACTGATGAAGGGAAGCTGACACTGGTGAAAGGATTATTATTGGATTATTGGATGCCTAAAATGCAATTATCAGTAACTTTATAAATCATGACTCTTTTATAAATTTTTTAAAAAGGAAGAAGAAATTGGTAGACATATAGAAATTTTGCAGAGATGGGTTAATACCACTTTAACATTCATATTTCAAAGGTTATATGTAGTTTGGAAGGACTGTGTTATTTTTACATCACATTGGACAATAGCCTTGTTATTCTGGTTATCCTTCTAAATAAGCTTGAAACACAGTCTTGCTTTACATGTGGGAAGCTTGGATTCAGTACCTGGCTCTTAATGGTCCCCCAGACAACACTCAGGGCAGTGACCCAGCACCAAACTTGGAGTAGCCCTTGTGCACTGCCAGGTTGCCCCCCAAGCAAAAGAAAAAAGAAAAAAGAAAAATTTGAAGAATAAAATAAAATGGTTTGTTTTGCAGTTCTTATGAGGAAACCAGGCCTGCAGGAGCAAAAGACACTATTGTGTATACAAGGACATATGTGGAGAATAGGTACTGGGTGTTTATATCAATTATTGTCGATATTTATTTTTTAAATTTTAAATTGTGTTTAAGAAGTGTTGCTATTATTCTAGAATATGCTTGTTTTGTTTTCAGATAGAAGACTATAGTATATTGTGGTAAAGATAGATATATAATGTTTTCAACATCAAATAGTTATTAATTTAGAGTTATTGACTAAACTAAATTATATATGAATATAACAGAAAATTCAGTACTTGTCAGGAAGTAAACAATTTTTTGTGAAAAGTTTCTCAAAGTCCACACATAATTTACCTTGTAAAATGTGACCTCAAATTTCACCTTTACGATAAATGCCATTCGTCCTCAATCGTATTCTCACAGTGCAGTATGGTATAGAAAAAGTTCCTAGCATTAGAGCTGATATTGAATCTTTGCCCGACCTGTGGCTTTGTCAACAATATGTAACCTCTTCCAGTCTCAGTTTCCTCGTCAATAAAATAGGGGTAATGCCTAAATACATGAAAACTCTTAATTAACATTGTAGATTCTGTGTTCCACAAAGTAGATTCTATTTCAGGCAGCAAAGAGGCAGTTTGGAGGAAGACCAATTGTTTGTTAAAATACCCCAAGTGAGGACTATATTATCCACTCACTGTATGAAATAATAGGAACATATTGCTTCCAGTCCTAATACACTCGGAGATAGCTGAAGTACTTGGGAAGCAATTAGGCGCAGCCAGCTGGTTAGTGAAATACAGATTTCATTTGCCTCCAAGAAAGAGTGATGTTTACAAGCTGGGGCAATCTCAGAAATGGAAGAATAGAGAAATTTTTAAGTGTTTTTTTTAAAAAAAGCTTTTGTTATAAACTATTCTGTTTTTGAATGTCTTCAAGTTAAAAATTAAAACATCTGTATTTCTCTGATTATATGCTTCTCTATGTGCTTTGTGTTTCCTTTATCTATGCAGTGAGGACTTTCTTTTAGTAAATAAGTAAAGTAGATACAAGTCTAAATTTCATGAAATATAGTAGCTTTTTCCTGCTCTCACTTGTTTTTTTATACTCTTTGAACCATCTCTATTTACCTTAGTAGAAATGTCAATTTATGTAAACTCGTAGGTGACTTGTGCATTAGTACTTCTTTAGATTCAAAGATGAGGGGGTGCTTTCAAATCACAAAGAATAATAAAAGGTAAAAAGGTAAAGGTCCTCCCGTTGATCATCGATTTACTCGAGCGGGCCCAGTAACGTCTCCATTGGAGACTTTGTTGTTACTGTGTCTGGCATATCAAATACGTCAGGGGGAGCTTGCCAGGCTCTGCCGTGTGGGCGAGATCCTCTCGGTAGCTTGCCGGGCTCTCCAAGAGGGGCGGAGGAATCGAACTCGGGTCGGCCATGTTGGCTGCGTGCAAGGCAAACGCCCTACTGCTGTGCTATCACTCCAGCCCACAAAGAATAATAAGTCTGCATAAATGTGTTTCCTCACCTGCATAAAGATAGAAATATCAATACCAAAGAAATAGCCAATTAGTCACATGTCATATGTGTTTGTTCCTAGTAAATCACCCAAGGTTGGATATCAAGAAAATTTATCTGGAAAATACATTCAAACTGTTTATTCAACCTCAGATAGGTGAGTATGTGTCCTATTTTCGTACATAAAACACTTAGACACACACAGACTGAAGTATATTTGTGTTATCCACTATAGAGAGATAACACTACTGATGAGAGTTGTTATGAACCAAATATGATCTCCTCTGCATCCAGGAATTTGTGTCTTGGCTTCCCGGCTCTTGCTGCTCTTCGATTTTGATGCACTTTATTCTAAAAGATCTTTCCTTGCCACACAGCTGCTTCCCAAACCAGTCCCTCTGCTCTTGGTGACTCCCAGGAGAACTGGTAATACCATATTATTAGAGTCTGGACTTTATTGCATCACTAGACTGTGACCCCAGCTGTCCTTTATTGCAGTTTTCTAAAGCCAGCTCACTTTACTAACAGCTGTGCGTCTCTGTTACTATGACCCACTCTAGACCCATTCTTGGTTCCCAAAAGGGGACTTATGATGAGAACCAATTTAGTGATGGTAAATGGACCCCAGGATCTGGCTGTTGATGATCATCTCTTACCATTTAATGTTTAGTGACACTTAGTAGAGTTACCTGCAGATTTCCAAAGGAACATATGAAAATAAATAATGAGTATTTCAACCCAACTGCTGGACACAAGCTTAAAAAAATCTGATAGACCATGGGTGGTATTTTTCTATAACAGGGTTTGGAAATATAATTACATGAGAGTAAAGTCATTTCTTCTTTTTTATGCAGTTAGGAATAAAATGTTAACTGTTTGGCACCTAGCAGGTATTCAACAAATGTTTCCTGGGAAAATGAACCTATATCCATTTGCTAATGGAAACTTCTGTGAACTCAGCATCAACTACATATTTCATTTTTATTATTTGTATAGGATATTTTTTGTTTTGCTTTGTGAGTTGGGGTCACACCAGGCAGTGCTCAGGGCTTACTCCTGGCTCTCGTGGTCTGGCTTAGTAGACTCTATGTAACACTGGTTTTCAAACCTGGGCAGCAACATGCAAGGAAAGATCCTTACCAGCTGTACTGAGAGATCCAATTCCTATGCAGGAATTTAGATGATGACTCCTCTGCTGAGTATCTTGTTTCTAAGTCACACCTCTTTAGGAGTGAAATTATCTTTATAAGCATTACAAATACATGTACTGCTCATTAACAGCATCCAAACAGATAAAGCTTTGGAAAGATCTTTGACTGTCAGTATGATTTAATAAGTATAAAATCACTTATTAACATGACTTATACTTATTAACTTTACTTATTCTTATGAGATTTCACAGGCTCATTTTTTTATTATTAATGTTCAGAAAAAAATAACTATATTCTTCCTACGAGGATCTGAAGAGGACCAATGTTCTTAAATTGGTCAATGAAATGTCTTTAACATCAGCCAATTATATTTTCTATTGAATATTGTATGAAATTAGCAATGTCACTGTCATTTTTTAACTTATTTTTTAATTGAGGTAACATTGGTTTAGAGGAGTTTAAATGTATGCATATTTTATGTGTGGCCATAGATATTCCCAGTTGCTAGAAAAAATGAGTTCTGCTTTATTAAAATTGCTTAAGTTTATTTATTTTTATTTATTTATCTTGGTTTTGGGACCAAACCCAGTGCTCAGTGCTCAGTGTTTACTCCTGACCCTGCACTCACTGTACTAGCTCTCAAACCTCCACAAAACTAGCACACTGTGTGTCTGTTCAAGAAAACTTGAAAGAGCCCCAGTTATGCCATTGTTCTTCTCTAATGTCAATAAACATTGAAAATAACTTCTCACTTTACAGGATAAGACTGAATTTTCTTATATGTTCTTTATGCTCCTTCAGAACCTGTTCCTGTTGATTACTGCCTGGTGTTAAGTCATTCCAAATACCCTCATTGTAATAGCTCCTTGACGCCTTCTATTCATTATGCTTTGAATTCCTCCATCATGTTCCTCCTCACTCATTAAGCTCACCTCCAGTTTCTTTTTTTTTCTTTTTTTTCTGGTGGGTTGCTCCCATCTTTATGCACTTCTAATTGTTCCCACATATTTAATAACATACTGCGATCATTGAACTAACACCTGGCTCCTGGAAAAGAAAGTAAGCTTTTTATTGGAGGATTCCTATTCTTAGCTGGGCCCCAGATAATATCTCAGTGCTTCGAAATGGAAGGTAGATGGTTTGTTTTCTACTACTGAAAGACTTGTATGAAAAATTTTGTATGTGAACATACAGGTATATGTGTGTAAGTGCACATGCATTTATATGAATAATTCATAGGCAAATATTTTCAGGGAATATATAACTTTAAGTAAGTAAAGTAAAGTAAAGGCCCTCCCGTTGATCGTCGATTTGCTCGAGTGGGCCCAGTAACGTCTCCATTGGAGACTTTGTTGTTACTGTGTCTGGCATATCAAATACATCACAGGGAGCTTGCCAGGCTCTGCCGTGCAGGCGAGATACTCTCGGTAGCTTGCCGGGCTCTCCGAGAGGGGCGGAGGAATTGAACTCGGGTCGGCCATGTTGGCCGCTTGTAAGGCGAACGCCCTACCCGCTGTGCTATTGCTCCAGCCGCATATATATATATATATATAAAACTTTATATATTCTTTATATATTTAGCTGCTATAGTGTTAGTTGAAAGAGGAAAATATTCTTATACATAGGGTGTCAAAGTGTAGAATTACTTTAAATGTACAACCAGGCATGTTTCCTCTTTTCTCTCTCTCTCTCTCTCTCTCTCTCTCTCTCTCTCTCTCTCTCTCTCTTTAAGAGGGCTCACACCCAGCTATGTTCAGCTATGTCCTGCCTTTGCACTCAGGAATTATTTCTGGCAGTGCTTGGGGGACTATATGGGATGCCAGGGGATTGAACTTGGGACGGCCACATGTAAGGCAAACACCCGACCCACTTTACTATTGCTCCAATCCCTCTTTTCTATTCTCTTTCCTCTCCCACCTTATTCTCCCTTGCATTTACCCTCTACTCTTATATCTCTGGTCTTCACAGTAGGATGACGCCTCCCAGGATGACTGGTTTATTTCATCTAGACTCCATACACAAGCAGGACAGGTAGCTCAAGGACTTTAAAACTATGCTACCGTCTTTCATCTCCTTCTTCTGTCACCCAATGTCTGCATGACAGTAGCAAGTGACAAACTTGTATCAGTTTTTTCCACCATAAATTATCAATAAAGGCAATAATATTTAATTTTCAAAGACCTTAGGAAAAATAAAAATATTACCTCAGTAAATTGCATGGGAAAATTCACTTGATATATTAAGCAAATTAGCCTGTAGAAGTATTGGCTTTCACTATTCCATTGTTTTTCTGACTCTGACTCAATAAACTGTAAAAGAAATTTGAGACAATTCTAAGACGATACAAAGGTAATAATCACATACATACTGACTTTTCTTAAAATATGACCCATTGTAGTTTGGACTTTGCTGATCATCTCTACAGTTAATTTATATTGAATATTATTTTTCCAAAATTAATAATGAAACTGATTTTACCCCATCAATATAAAGTTGGTAATGAAAGGTGGCATAGAACTTTGGTTCCTACAGTGACACCAAGGGAACTCTTTTGGTCTCTAAACTAGAGTCTAGGGTACTACATACTTATCATTTGTGAATTTCCTAATACACTCTTGATTTAATTTCTACTTCTTGCCTATTTAATGATTTGAGAGTTAAAAACTTGTCTTACTATACTGCATAATTTAAAAAATACATGTAAATTAACAACTCAAATTATTATTCTAACTTCAAAGGGTACTTATGACCTAGTTCCGTTAGGAAAACTATAAACATCTTTGCCCTGCTCAGATATACCTTTGATTGCTAGTAAATTTGAGACTTTCCATCATGTAAGTTAGTTGTTATCATTTTGAGGTAACTAGAAAGAATCAGTTGTGCCACTTTTCATGCGTGATGAAAAGTTATTTTTAATTGCTTACCTTTCTATAGATCTGTCATTGAAAAAGATATGTGCACTTACTGCCGAAAACCCTTGGGTACAGAAACAAAAATGATTTTAGATGAATTACAAATTTGCTGCCATTCCACTTGCTTCAAGGTAAGAGTGCATTTAGCTAAAATTAAATTGCATAATTAGTGGCTCAAAAATGATTATTTAATTAGATATGTGGAATTGAGTTAAAGTTTTCAGAATCATTCACATTAGTAATGTACTACTTAAATATTTCTAGAGTTCTACAAACTTAACCTCCAAGGTTTGAAATTACTATCTTGGCTTTAGGCTTAGAGTTGATTACTGACATATTTATAACTCTGACCCTAGAGATTTAAATCTGTTAAAAATATGCACTTTTTCTCTTTGTAACAGTTTTTGTAATGTTTTAATAAATCATGCATCACTTAAAATGAAATCCTAAGAGAAAAACTGTTGAGAAGAAAGTTGGTAGCTCATTAGGTTAGGGAATTAGAGTGATGCTATTGCTACAACAATAACTTAAACCCAGCCTTTGAAAGCATGATTCACTAAAATTGATTGTGGCTTAGTTTACTAATAATGAAGTTTACACTGGATGATGTTTTACAGTTTATGCTTTCATGAACTATTTCTCTTCTGACAATAACCGTTGCTAGAGTTTTTTTTTTGTGTGTGTGTAATTGGATGATCCCTGAATTGGGAATTTAAACATCTGCATTTGCGCACTAACTCTGTCTTTAACTATGACTCTCTGACTTTGGATATGACCTAAATTAGCTTGGCTTCACTGTTTAACCTTTGAAAAAATGATATAGTTTACTAAAGCAATAGTTCTCCACTGAGATGATTATTGATGTATTTAATAATCATCTAGGGGAAATTCAGAGAAAAATATAACACTTGGAACAAGCGCCAAAGAAACCAAGAATCTCACAGAATAGTCTTAATATTGGTATTTTTTTAATTAGTGAAACACCATGAGGTACAGTTGTAGACTTACAAATTTTTGTGCTTGGGTTTCCTATCGAGTGTCCATCCCTCCACCAGTGCCCATTCTCCACCTCCACTAATCCCAGTATCCCTCCGACCCCCCTCATCCCCCCCATCCCACCCTGCCTCTGTGGCAGGGCATTCCCTTTTGTTCTCTCTCTCCTTTTGGGTGCTGTGGCCTGCAAAAGAGTCATTGAGTGGCAATCATGTTCGGCCTAGAGTCTACTTTCAGCATGCTGGGGGATCCTGGGGGATCCTCCAATATCCCCCATTTGGTGCTCCCTTCTACATCTGGGCTGCCTTTACCCCTAGAGTGTGAATCTGGCCTCCAAGCCATGGAGTAAACCTCATGGTATTTATCTCGGTTATTCTTGGGTGTTAGTCTCCTGTTTTGTTACTTTAATGTTCCCCAGATGAATGCAACCTTTCTATGTCTATCCCTCTCTTTCTAACTCATTTCGCTTAGCATGATACTTTCCATGTAGTAGACATTGGTATTTTTTAATTCCTAAAATAGAATTAATAAGTGGTAGTTTGAGAACCATTTTCCTAAGTCTATGGATTCTCTTTACTGATAGCATTGTGTTTGACACAACTTTTCTCTTCAGGTAAGAAGTTGCAATGCATACATAACTTCAGACATTGACATATGGTTGTAAGAAATATGATGCTCATTTTGAACCAAAAATCCATTTTTGGTTGTATATATAAATTTACATAAGGTATAATCTGGAAATTTTAGAATTATCTAGTTATGATCAAATGACCTGTTGTAGCTTTTCAAATTTACTCAAAAGTTAATGTTTAGCTCTTTATTGAAAATTATCTTGCAGAAAACTTTTAAAAACAATTAAATTCATCTAATTATTGATTTTACTAAATAGTCATAACTGCCATTTGTTGTACATTCAATTTTTATTCCCATTTTAATTTATTTATAAAATATTATGTACTGAGAATAAAAATGCCCCCAATTCCCAAAAAGTGGTGGATTTTATTATAGCGATGGTAATAGGAAAGCACCAAAACTGTTTTACTTATATTGATTAATTACAATTTATTCCAATGAACTAGCCTCTAGAAAATTAGCCAATCTGTGACATCCTCATGCTTGAAAGTCAGTCAATCAGCAATGGACTTACTCCAAAGAAGCAGATGCCGGGTCTATCCTGCCACAGGAACTGAAATAGCTCAAAACAAAGTTTCACCTAAAGTCCATGTGAAGTCAAAAGTTTGTTTTGCTCAGTGAGGTTACATACCTGTACAGCATAATTCCTCTAAAATAAGAAAATAATGAGTATGCTTTGAGTATTTGTTAGAAATATTGGTCGTGTCTTTGACATAATAAATTTTTTAAAATTGATAGCTACCCTGCTGTCAGCCAGGTAGAAACTTCCATAGTATATATATGACCTGAAATAATAAAAAGATGCTGTGACACTATTTGAAAAATTCAGCACAGTGATCTATAATCCATAACAAGTTCACTCTTACTTTTCCTTTGGTTCTCCTCGGCTTCATCTGAATTCTCTTATGGAGGATGAGTCTGAGTGACTTGAAAGGGCTTTTCTATCTTTTTACTCAGAGAATCTAGAATTCAGATGTAATGTAAATTTTATATATTTTTCTCTTCAGTGTGAAATATGCAAAAAACCTTTGGAGAATCTACAAGCTGGTGACAGTATTTGGATTTATAAGAAGACAATACACTGTGAGCCTTGCTACTCTAAAGTTATAGGTGAGTGTTATTTATGAAAATGATAAATATAGCTAATGTGAATGAATCATCATTTGATATTATTAAAAGAAAAGACTTCAATGAAGTAGAAATATTTTAACAATATATACATAATGAATACCATAGAAAGTTTATAAAATAACTGAGATGTTAAGGGGAACTGGCCAGTATCACTAAGTAAAGTTCAAATGTCCTGGTGTCTAGTTGATGTGTAAATCAAATAGGAACATTTGAAATTCTTACAAGAATCCAAAATATGAAACTTAATGACAAATGTGTGTTATTAATGAGGCACAAGGATGCTACATTTAGCTTGGAAAATGAGCTGAAAAATATTCAAACCCACGTTCCATCAGGCTCAGAATCAATTACAAGAACAAACTTAATTATATTCATACTTTGCCTTCTATTTTCTGATATTTCCCAGCCAGTTCTCATTCTGTTTTCTTTTCTAATTTAGTAACTTTATGACGATCCAATATTTGCATGGTAGCAGCTCTAAAATTTTTATTCTTCTCAAAACCTGTGATTTGACTTAAGAGATTTGGTTACCAAAAGACTCTGGTCTTTGTGTCTAACTTCTTAACTGGGTACTCTGTAACCACTGCATTATATATCATACATATAAGTTTTCAAAACATGGTCTCATAAATATTGTGTCCCAAACACCTGAAATTCTTATTTATGGCATCACCAAAAGTCCTAGTGATGACACAGTAGAAGGATAAAGTAGAATGTTAATCTACTAGCAGCACCTGGTTGATAAATGATTGCTATTTAAACTTTTAGTTATACGTTTCCTTTTGTACTGAATTTTTATACCTAACTGTGATTTTCTTTAATTTTTCAGCAAAGTGGATTCAGTAATTCTGGCACATTGAAATCAAGATGAAAATACTTATTAAGAAATTCTAATATTTTTTCAGTTTTAGACTATATCATCTAGATAAATTGTTACACTGAAGATTGAGTCACATGCAATTCAGAATTCTATCATTGAACAAATAATATATTTACCTTCAATAAGGTCACACACATAAAAGGAACTATCTGGTATTTAACTAGATTTGGGATCAAAATATGAGTAGTTCTAGCTACCAATGTCAAAGGATTGGTATTTTCTGATGGCAGTGAGATTATCAACTCTAAGTAGGCCATTCCTACTCCAAATTTAATCTGTAAGTTAGGGTAATTATTATAGATGTTTCTCATCTTCTCACCTTTTTTACCCTGAGAATTTGAATCTGTATACACTATTAACATCTGACAAACTATCCAGGGTGCAAGATATATTTTATTTTTGTGAAAAAGAAATGTTAATTGAGATTTTATTATAAAGTTTGGCAGATTCCTATTAACACTCAAAGGTATATGAACTTCAGAAAATTACATAGACTTTCCAGACCCATTATCTGTAACATGAAGGACATTGGACAAAATGATTTCTAAGTCCCTTTCTGCTCTCCAAATGCTCTGATTCTAAAGCAAGTTTTTGTTTTCTCCTTAGAAACATCTGAATATGTTACCATATTGACTTGAGATAACATCTAAACAATTTAGTGTTTGTGTGATCATTCAGTTTTTTTCAGGCATATTTTTACATATTTATAAAAAATCAGAAAAACATGGATTTATGGGTAATGGGTAAACTCATTATATTCATAGATTATTATTATAATTAACCTTTTCTTTGCATGAATTTCAAAATCTGGGTATACAAATAATCTTTGAGAAATAATGGTTATGAACTACAAGGACATGTTTTGGGGAATGTTACATTTATCCGTATTACATAGCACTTTATATTTACATACAGTTGATAAAAAAATAAAATGAACTATGAGTTATACAAAATTTTTGTGTCAAGTATTTTCAAACACCATTCACTAACCTGAACTTCTGTCAATTATAGTTATCATCCTTTATTATCGTGCTGGTCCGTAACTGCTCAAGCTATGATTTTATTTTATTTTATTATTTTTGTCTTTCATTTTCTTTTCTTTCCTCATTAAACTTTGAATCAGTGGGTATCAAAATTCTGTGAAGATTTATAGTCGTTATTTCCATTAAAAAATGCTGATTTTAAAGTCACATTACTTAAAACGGCCACATATTGACACGCGCAAATGTGCACACACGCATATACACACACACACACGAGGTCAAAAAAATACTCTCTCTTCAGAAGATCTTGCAATGCACTGTTGACCTTAACTGGACTTTCACTATTGAATTTAAAATGACCGATTGAGACAAATAGTTCTGAGATCACTCTGCTCCTCACCCCCGCACCCCATCACTGATGAAAACTGGGCTCATAGGAACTGAAGATGTGCATTTAGCTTTCTGAGCTTTTGGGGAAGACTTGGTAACCTTGCCATGTCGCCACCTTTCTGCCCATCACTCTGATACCACAGCAGTTGTTTGTCCCACATCACCAATAGCAAAGCTGCTGGGAGGAGGACAAAGATGCTGTCAACATACTTGGGCTTGCCAGAAACAACAGCAGCAATGAACACATCAACAGGATTTATGAATTTGAGATCATCATCCAGCCTTTTCCTACTACAACATTTCATCAATCTCCTTCAGGCCAACAAACTTGCAAGTGATGGTGGGTGTTGATCCACGTGCATGTCCAGCACTGATGTGACCCTGGATGGGTCAAAATTATTGCCTGAGCAGTGAAGTCAGTTGCTTCCTTCTGTGGATCATTTTTGCTGTCACACATACATTGTGAAAGAGATTTTTATATTCAAGAGTTGAAGATGTGATCGTTTTCCCATGTGAGAAACGACTGTTATTAAAATTGAGAAATTGGTTGTCTGGAGTACTTAATATAGCCTCTACTTCTTGAAGGAAAGCATATGGAACAGTGAGGAGAGAAGGAATTATAGGCAACATTAGGGCAGTTGTGAAAAGTTGACAAGAACAAAGGAGATTAAAAGATAATTACATATTCAAAATGTTGATAAGCTTAGAGTTATTCTTTTGCATAATGATTTTAAGCATCTGTTCCTCATAGAGACTGGCCTCCAAAGTGTTAAACACAAACTGCTTATCAAAACACACCAATGTGTGATAGTCGTCCTACCGAGAGGAAGCCAGAAAAAACAATTAATAATAATTTGATATTCATTAATTCATGCTTGATGCAAAGCAGTGGTAATTGAGCCATATGTTTTATTGTTCTTTTATTATATGCTATCAAAGTGGATCAAAAGAAATACTTTTCTTAGAATTGGAATTCATGGCAGAAATGATGGATGAAATAGTATCCCTTCCTTTTATATCAAGCATATTAGCAACTCAATGCCTTTGTAATAATTAAAAATCATTTGAATATCATTTTATAGTAGTCTACTTTTTAAATGCTTCATTTGAAAGCCTATAAAGATTTTATTTCTTATTTTATCTGGCTGTTTTATTGATCTTTAATTCTCCTTTGATAATGTATTAAATTTAACCAAAATCTGTTCTAAAGATGAAATAAATACAACCTGCAGAAGGAGGAGCTTCTGATTTATCAAGACCTCTTCATTGTGTATGGGTTTATCATTCCATAGGAAATAGAGATTCTTAAAATAATTAATAGATATTATTTTTAGGCAACCAATTGTGTTCTGATTGATAGTTTCCCTGGGATGAATTGCGTACATCTCAAAAAAACAGAATTTTTTCTTACTAATCAAGAAATGTCTCTGACAGGGAATAAAATGCTCCAAAATTCTTTTGAAAAGAACCAAAATGAATGAAATATAAGAATCCCAGAAAATTGATCTGTTAAAATGCACTATTTCTTTCCAAAAGGCCAAGAAGTAAAAATTGATTCAAGAAGTAATCTATATACCCCTAATTGTTTGCTTGCAAACACAACTATAATTAATATGAATGATGACATGGGTCAGCTCTGTTGGCCTACACTCTCACTTATTTGCTACAATAGGGAATCATGGGTGTTTCCTACTCAGCTTGAATCCGAGCTCTACACACACAAGTTAGTGTTTATATCAAGGCAAACTTTCAGTGATTTTTTTGGCACTGCTAAATGCACTGGTTATTTTTGGTATAATGCAAATGATTTTTAGGCTTCCACCTATTCCACAAGAGATTAATAATTCTCAGAAGCACCCCAAAATACCTGTGTTAATATGGTTAGGTCATGTTCATCAGGGGTCCATTCATCACTATTTAAAATGTGAGATTTTTACTTGATTTAATGACCTGCCTGTTCAAACATTGCATTAATACAAGAATCTATTCTTGGACTAAGAAGTTAGTCCAACAGATTGAAGCTCATATCTGTCATGCATAACCTACTGAATTTGATCCCTGCAGCACATGTTCTCCTGAGCACTGCTGAGTATAGCCTCGGTTGTCCCTAGTACTGCCAGGTATGGCCCTGAGTATCACCTCTGTCTCTGAACACTGAACTGTCAGGTCTGTACAGCTGGGCTGAGAAACTGAAGTGAGCCCTAGGCTCCCTGGTAACTGCTTAGACAATCCCCTTACTTCAGAATTTATTCTTTCTTCCTACTCTATTTTTAATCAGCCTCATCTGGAGTATAAACTATGGGTAAGGTATATTTCCTCACTTTACTTGGGACGCTAATAATGAAGGCCCTTTTTGTTTAACAAGTAGATTCATTAAACAACTGAGCAAACTACCAGACAAAGAAAATATACAAGGCAGGTAGGTACATGGGTTAAGATGTTTGCTTGCATTTTACTAACCCTGGTCAGATCCCTAGCACCAGAGTCAGGAATAAGCCCTGTGTACTGCTAGGCATGACCCAATTTCCAGCCCCAAAAGAAAACATTCATCAAACAGTTAAGTAAAATGTTAAGAAACATAATTTCTAATCTAGAAAAAAACTTTTCACAGGCATTTTATAAACATTATATGTTCTCTTTCTTTGTTGCAGTATGAATAATACATCTGATAAAAAAAGGAACATTCAGATCTTAGTGCAACTTTATCAGTCAAAATATGTTAATTCTATGTCCTTTCCCAAGAGAAAAGGAAAGATCATGAGCTTCAAAGCTTCTCCAAGTTCATAAAGGCAAGTTGGACTGAAAGTTTCCTATAGGAAAATGTTTAGAACTTAGGACCAGTGTCACTCTGGCATAATTCAGGAATAGAAAGACTTCTGGGAGACTCCAATTATTAAACATGAAGTGAGGCTGAAAAAAGTAGGTAAAATATATCATTGTATTTTCATAAATTCATTGAAAATATATTACTAAATGAGCTTTAACATTTAATGTTAAATATCTATTTGATTATTTAATTAAGTTAAATTTAAATTTTATAATTAGATTAAATAATATCTAATGAATGATATAATTAAATATTTAAATTAAATGACATTTAAAATTTAGTATTATTAGAATAGATTTATACCTTTTAAATTTGTGTGATTAAAATATTATTGAATATAGATTTCATGAACATATTAATGTTATTTTGAAGCAAACTAATTAATTAATCTCTGACAAAGTCATGAAGAAATTTTGATGGAAAAGGAATAGCATTTAAAAAAAGAAATTATACTGAAATAAACAAATAGCCATGTAAAAATACCCCCAAACCTAGCCACAGATCTTATATCACAAAATAACAAACTCAAGACAGATCACATAGTTAAGTACAAAATGCAAAACTGTAAAACTTCTAGGAGAAAGCAGGAGGAAAATCAACATAACCTGAATATGGCAAAAAATTATGAATACAATATCAAAATCGCTCCAGCCCAAACACAGTAACAACAGTAACAATATCAAAAGCTTGTACTCTGGAAGAAAATATTGACACCTAATTGAACAATAAAATGATATGAAAAATGAGCAGAAGACACGATGACATCTAACCAAAGGAATATATTGCAAATAATCATATAAAAGATACTCAATATGATTTATCATTGAGGAATGGGAAATAAAAGCAATATA